CACACCCCCCCCCCCCCCCGGCCCCAGCCAGTCCAGTGAAGGACCAGAGGGCTAAGCTGGCACCCCTCTCCCTCACCTATGTCCCTATAGAAGATGGGCACCAACACATTCAGTCCCCGGTCCAGCCCCATGAGCCCCAGGCAGATGACCACCACAAGCTGCAGAGCTGGATTTCCCCGAGGCCACAGGTAGCCACTCAGGAGCCGGAGCTTCCTGCCAAAGTCTCGCCAGGTAGATGCTGGTGGCCCCTCTGTTGACTGAACCTAGGATGGTGAAACACATAGAGGGAAGCTTAGAAATCATAAAGAATTGCACTAGCCAGAAACCTTCTAGGAAAAATGTAAGGGAGTGCAGACCCCAGGCATTTTAGACCCACAAGTAAGCCCTGATGGGATCAGAAAAGCTAACAGGGCACAATGTGAGGTTTGGGTAAGAAACAGTTTATTATGGTAGGAAAAAATGATGCCAAGAAAAGAAGTTAAGACAGACCCTAAGGTTCAGAAGTTGAGGTGTACCTGGCTCCTTTCTACATCCTGATCGTCTTCATTGACCCGAAATGTGTAGGACTGGGGACGAAGTCCCGGAGCCCAGAGCCCCAGGACAAAAAGCCCTCCAGAGACCACATAGCGCAGCACCCACAGGCTAAACTGTACCTAGAATGAAACATGTGAGGAGAGTATCAAACAGGGCCAAATCCCATTGTTACTACTAATAACAGGGTTGGGGATTGAACCATGGGCAGGCACCCTGGTTCCTCCTCGGGGCCCAGCATCTAATGGGCTGGTAAGAAAAATCCATAATGACTCAGCACGGACACGCCCTACCAGCTGGCTATCAGCTCCCAGCCAGCGTCAGCCCCTCCCTCTTCCCTTAAGAATCACCCCAAAGCGTGGAGCCAGTATGACCAGACTTGACATCCTTCTTCCCAACCCCTGCCACCCATGCTTCCACTCTCCCATGAGGCCCCTCACCTGCTGGCCCAAGTCCGCCCTTGCCCACCACCACTGTGGGCTGTTCCAAGACACCAGGGCCAAGTTCTCGGCTGCAAAAGCCACAGTCCAGAGGAGCAGGAGACCGGGGCTGTGACTGAATTTGATCCAGGCGCCCATTGCTAGCTTCTGCCGCGCCTGGCTCCGTTCCACAACGAGCAGTCCCAAGCCACAGGCGCCGGCCAGGCTCCCCAGTATGGAAGCCAGCAGCAGGTAACCTGGCAGCGGGGCCCCCCGCGCAGTGCCCACTCGACCAACCAGGCTGGCCAGGGGCAAGGCCACCTGAAGTGTGGCCAGAAGCAGCTGCAGCACGTAGGGAGCGACACGAGGTCCGGCCCCCCAAGACAGCGCGTCGGCGACTGCTGGCCGCTCCCGCCGCTTGCAGGGAAGGGCCAGCACCAAGGCCAGAGTCCCCAGGGCCGTCAGCACCGAGGGCGTGAGGGTGAAGAAGAAGCAGGGGCTCAGGCCACCCTGCGCCCAGGCCGGACCCGCGGGCCCTTCGGCCTCGCAGTAGTTGCCCACAGTCACCATGGCAAT